TTGCCTTTACTGGCACACTTTAGATAAATAAACAAGGGGAATAAACTGATAAACAATCAATGCAGATATGTATATCTGCACTGATGTATGTGCAGATATAGCTTCATCCACACTGGTCGTTCAGATGGTATAGTTGTATACCATTAGAAAAAATTGCCCTGTTCATATGTAACACATGCAGGCTGTAAAGTAAGCAGTGCTAGTTTATATAGTTGCCCTAGCAGGTGAAATGGATCTGCACTGACCCTCAGAGTTACTCCTACAGCTGACACACACCATTCCTCATCTGTGCCAAGGAGTAAGGCATTCCTGAACATGTCACTGAGATACTCTGGATACACCTGTCCTGTAAAACTAAGCAGATTCTTGTTTCTAAAATGCAATCATTTGTAGGGTTGGACTGCTATGGTGGTCCCTGCCAAGCTTTTGCCCCCACAGTTATCAGAGTCCCAGGTTGTTCTTTGGCACAAAGCAGGAGCCATCCCTCACAGGCAGGGTGGATGTAAGCAGCTGATTTGATGGAGTAAGGCAGTTTAACACTGTGGGTGCAGACTGATCTATACTGACTGGCAGCAGGGCCAGAGAGCAGCCCCAGTAGTGTTGAATTTTTTGGTGCAGCAGCAGGAAAAAAGACTGAGATGTTTCTTCCTAAGAAAAAAAGCCAACCTGTCACAAGGATGCCGTCACTTCCAGCCCCACCTCCCATATGGCCCTGGCCCACTGACTAGGCAGCAAGCCCCAACATGGCAGTGGGTCTGTCATCCACCTCTGCTTCACTGAGAGTAGCAGCATCAGCTGTCATGTTGTCACAACAGTAGGCTCCAGATTTCATCTGAAAATCTGCCTCTCAGTACCTGCTGGTGCTGAGTCTTGGGTCTTTTCCGGCCAGGCTCTTGATTTCTCTGATTTGCATAGCAGACACAGGCAGAAAGCCAGGTTTTAATAGCCAGGTGAAAAATGTACCTCCCAAGAAGGGAAGGGAACAGAGAGGTTCCTCATTCTTCTGACACAAGTAGATGTCAGGTGTCAGAAGAGACTGCTTCTCAGGCTGGAATTTGGCCTAGGAATAGTTCTCAGGTAATTTGATTTGGAATACATGACTTTGGATGTTAGGCTGTAACAACAGGAAAGTTTTCCAGGGTCTGTCAGTAAAAAATTCATATCTGTGTAATTTCTGTGGCTTTCCTCCTTGACCCTCATAGTTCCAAGCTGAGATTCCAATTTGTATCTATACCTGCAAAATTGTTTTGCTGTAAGAGAACCTACCTACAGCAGAGATGACTACAGACCTTGATTGCAGATGCTGATCTGCAGGAGGAGGCTGATGGCACTGTGGCCATCCATGTCAACACTGTGGTGTGTGACATCCTTTCTGGGCCATGGACACACAGCTGTATTACATTCCCCCTGCACACACTGTGCACACACATACCACCACATCTGCCTGCCTCCCCCTTCCAGTTTGTCTCCTCTGCCATTGCAGGGTTTGCATGTCCTCTCTGAGATGATGGATGTTTCAATTGTGAGAGGGGGCTCTATTCCATGCAAGCATCTGAAAGTGCTTTGCAAAAATAGCTCACACCTCACAGACAAGTGGTCTGATGCACAGAAATAGGAAATAGCCTTACTTGCCTCAAAGGGTCTTTTAACATTCCCCACCACCACAGTATCCTCTCACAAGCACAAATGACCTTCTCCCTATGAGAGCAACCAGGAGGCCCCCATTTTCCTAAGGTCCTGGAAAGATTAAGTGACACAGGTCCAAGGTTGCACAGGAAGTCTGGAGGGAGTGCTGGAAATAGAAGGGGGCCCTCCTGAGTCCCTCTGCAGTGCCTTGACCACAAGACCATCCTTCCCTTCCCAAGGTTATGTATCAGGCCTATGGCGGAGCCAGGAATAGCACCCAAGTTTCCTGACACACAAACTGTCCTGCACTGTGTACAAAATAAGCACAAATATAAATTTTAATCAATTTATAAAGCTGTGTCTTGCAATTAAACCTAAGACTACTATCTGAACCTAAATTTTTCTACGTATTGAAAGATGTGACACTCTTGAGAAATCTCTGTCTACCACCAAGGCAGCTAATAACCCCCAGCAGCTAATCTCTTCTGCTTCTCCAGTGCTTCCAATTCCTTGACGTGTTCTGTCTGTGCCAACAATGCAAATGCCACCTGCCACAGAGACACAGGCTGGCAAAGGCATGGGCTGAGGGGTGCCCTCTCTGGCCACCCTGTTGAGAACTGGCCCCTAACAAGGAGGACAAGTCCTCCAGGGCTGCTGTGGGACGGAGAAAAGGAAACATTGCAGGTTGAGGTATGCATATGAATTAACAGTGCCACAGTGACAGCCTGAGGAGGAACCCCAGGTCCCCAAAGTCCTGGCTCTAGGGGGATGAGTGCCCAGGGCCAGCTGGACCAGCTGGAGGCTTTCATATCCACCACCTGGAGGGCCACACGTTGCATCAGTGCGTGCAGCTTCCCTGGGGAGAGATGGGGATGTGCTGTGTCAGGAGGGGCACGGTGCCATGTGTCCCTGCAGCTTGCTGGAACCTTTCCATTAATTTAATGGGCTTTGGATTGGGCCCTGAATTCTCAGCTGTCCCAGCTAAATGGACTCCCCAGGCGGGCTCTCCTCTCGTTTTAGAATGAGGAGGCCATACAGAAACCCTGGTGACCAGGCGGTTCCTGCCGTTCTTTGGCAGCAGAGCTCCCATCCTGGAGTGAGCACTGCCCCGTCATTGCCCCTTGGCCACAGTGTGTACCACCTGCACACATGGCTCCCCACCTGCATCTGCCATCCTCTGTCTCAAGCAAGACATGCTCCACTTCCATCCCCCTGCCCAGATCACCCATTTTTTTATCCCAGTAAAGTCCAAGTACTATGGGTGGGGAAGACGGAACCCATGCTCTGCACTGCATACCTCAACCCACTCTGGTCACTGAGAGCCACTATATACATACATACTCAGGGCTAGGGGTCTTGGTAATCCTGTATGAGAAGTAAATCCTCTGTGTGACTGTAGCCCTGCTTAAGACAGAAATAGAAGAAGCCATTGGGCTGATCTGTGTAGCCATCATTTCAGGAGGTGTTTCAGAAGGACAGGACCATGCCCTTCCCTTTGCCTATAGTTTTCTGTCATCCACCAAACTCAGCACTGCTGATAATTAGCACACTTGGACAAACTTATCTTTCCAAAGCTGTTTTATTTTTAAACAAAGATATGTAGATACCAATGCTGCGCATTTTCACAAGAGAAGGGAGCTGTGTGCTTTTCCAAACCTTTACCTGACAGTAAATTAAAGTAGATCTTGCTGTAGCACCAAAAACCTGATGTTACAGAGATACTCAACCACTGAAGGCCTTCCTTTTGTTACTGCTGTTTCTACAGAAGCAGCATTAAGAAAGCCTAGCCACGACCATGGCACTGACTGCAAAGTTTAGTACATCATAAGAGATGAGCCTGCTCCATAAAGCTTGGGAAGAGTAAATACAGAGAAATAAAAGTGTTTTGGCCAAGGTTGAAAAACAAATGAGCAACAAAGATAGCAACAACACCTTCCAAAGCTCACTTTTGTGTCCAATCTGTGAGATTACATTGCACTGAGCACCTGCTGCCATACACACCATCATTCCTTATTTAATATATGATGATTAATATATGATTTAATATATGACTGATTATTGGCAGGCTGTTACGTCACTGCTCAAATTTAAACTGCTGTTCAGACCATCACCGACAGGCTGGTTTTCAATAGCTCAGATCACTCTCCTTATGAAAACTTTCATTAAAAGGACACTTTTTAGGATAGATGGAGATGATAACTGCATCAGGGCCCTTTGTAGGAAGTGAGCCTGTATGCCTTGTCTAAGGTTTCACTTAGCAAAAAGCTAAGCTTATGAACAGACAACACTTAACTCTGCAGTTAAGTGTGAGTTTTCCACTGACCTCAGACAAAAGTGGAATTCCAGTCGTTCATGTACTTATGCACACTAAAATAAGGGGAATACATAAAGATCACCAGCCACAATAATTGATTAATTATATCTGCTATCCCACTCGTTGTGTTTAGGATATCATCACCCTCCCCTGAAGTGAATGGGGACAGAGGATTTGCATGATCTTTGCAAAGCTGCAGAAGGTGGCCCACAATGATTTGGGTTCAGATTTAATGGAGTAAAAATGAGATTATTCCCTAGATTTTCCTTATTTTCCTGAAGTGGAAGAACCTTTTGCCTGTTTCTGAAGGATCTCTCTAGATTAACATGCAGTACAACATGAGGGCGAGCTCATTAGAGCAAACTAAACTGGGGAAATTGCCTGAGCGTTCAGAGCCAAGCCAGGGGATGGGATCACACTCTGTCCCACTATGAAGGCAGCAGGCACCAGGGGCAGAGCAGAAACCAAAGACACAACTGGCACTTCAGTAGATGTAGTAGTCAGGGGATTTGGGGCCACCAGTCAGTTCACTGTTACCATTTCCTGGAGAGGGAAGTCTGGGTGAGCACACAGCCTGTGGGAGCACATCGAGGACCTGAAGTAGGGGTCCTCCCTCGCTGGTGTGTCCCAAACTCCCCTGGTCTGCAGGCAAGTGTTAGAGCTTGCAAAAAATTAGGAGTTGAGTCATAACATGCCCCAGGTCTGGATTGCCATGGAGTGCACTCAACTCTTGCTCTTCCTCAGGAAATGACTCCATATATGTTTACATAAACACACAGCCCAACATGACTGGGCAAATATTACTTACGGTTTTGCCATTTGCCTTTGGGGTAAGACTGAGCACAAGCATGGGGTCAAAAGGTCAGAGGTTAGGAGGGGAAAGATGGAGGGTCTACACACAAGTTGTTCCCCAGTCTTTGTAATAAGTCTCAGTCCTACTCAATGCCCCCATGAGTCCACACAGGTCTGTCAGATGCCTGGTTGCAAAGTTCAGTTGGTTCATCATCAGATAGGGAATAAACATGGCACTCTGGTTATCATTAATAATATTTATTTTGGAAAAATATTTTAAAAATGAATTTCTTCATTAACAAAACAGTAAAAAAATCAAATAACATTTGCACAATATTCCATAAATACATTTATATACAAAAAAATATAGTCACATAGACCCGAAGTGCCTTTGTACATATTTACCAAAAAAATTAAATTATAAAAAAAATGAACATCACAAAATACTCAAGCTTTACAATTATCATGAAAATATTTTTACAGATTCAAAAAAATAACACACTTTTTCTCACCTAGTAAAAACAGATTTTAGTATCAAAAAAGACAATAAAGGCAGTGTTTGTGTTTCTAATTCAAGAAAAGACTGGCTCATAATAATCCAAAATATACACTTCAGGCAGTGCATGCTTCTTATGTAGTAATTAAGTCCATTCATTTAAATATATATAGAAAAGCAACTGACCATAGTGCAATGATAAAATTCATAAAAGGCAGTGCAACAGTAATCCTTGAACACAGACCCTTGCCTGGTGTCCATCTTGTTTCTTTATTTTGCAGTCATTTTGCTAACTTCAGTAGAGAACCAGCTCAAGCCTGAATTTAGTTTCTCAGCAGCAGTCAGTGAAGGAATCTATCTCCCATTCCTCTTTCAGCAGCATTCATTGGGGCATGTCTCCTCTGAAATTGTTCTGAACAACCACCTTGCCATATGACCTCTGGTTTACACCTGGAAAGAGAAAACACAAGCAGAGATCAGGAGAGGTTCATGAAGCATATGAAGAGGCCTGTAAGCCACCAAGGGTCAGCACACCTCAACCATTGTACCCTAGTCTACAGAACTTGTCAAACCCACAATATCCACAGCAGCAAGTCACTGTGCTTGTCTTTACAACGTCCACAGCATCATAAACTTGAGCTGGCTGTATTTCAACAGGTACAAACCACTGTGGCATTATGGAAAGGAGTTTATCTGCCCAGGATTGTATTGGATGGGAGCTGCAGACCAAGACTTTTCTCTGCTGTTCCAATCCTACTAACCTCAGTTGCTATGATGCACTCATCTTTCTCTTCTGATATGACATACACGGACTGGTACTTTGTGTCCTTTGAAGTGGAATATACTGAATCTGGTCGCTTTCTTTCAGAAGTATCACTATTGAAGGCAAAAAGAGAAAAAACAAGTCAGATGACTGTTGTTTAATGCTACCGATAAGATATACACTCCCCCTTCAAAGCCAAGCTGCCCCCTGCACTCAGATGTGAGATACCTCTTTAGTTGTACTGCACTTTTCTCCTCTGCCTCTGAATCATACGTTTCACACTTGGCTTCGCATTTGCTGTGCTCCTCCTTAACTGAGTCCTCATTCTTGAGTTCATGCACCAAATTGTAATCCACTGAAGGGTATCTGACTTTGTAGCCATTTTTATCAGAGTTATCGCTGTGAAAGTCTACTTTCTTATTTGTGTTTTTAATCTGAGTGGCACCAATGACACTTATGGAAATGTCCTTCTCGCGCTGGCAGTTTGCCAGGTTATTCATAGTCTCGGTCTCACTCCTGCAGGCATCAGGCTGGTGGTGCCTCTTCTGCACTCTGAGCCTGACGCAGACAACTACAGCAGCACACCCCAGCAGCAGCATGAGGACCAGAATAATCCCAGCGCAGACAGCAATCCAGGGGAACTGGGAGTTCTGGCCTTCTGTGTACTTTTCAGTGAAGTCAACAATGACGGGTCCCTGAGGTGGCTCAGGGAGCAGAAACTGGCAGTTGAGCCCGCCATAGCCCCGGGCACACTCGCAGACATAGCGGTTGTTTCTTTCATGGCAGGTGGCCCCATTGTGGCAAGGGTTGTGTTCGCATCTGCTCACCGGGGTGCTGCAGTTCTTCCCGTTGTATCCTGGGGGGCAGGTGCAGGAATAGTCATTGATGCCATCCTGGCAGGTCCCACCGTTGACACAGGGGAAGGAGGCACAGTCATCCACGTTGTCATCGCAGTGCCTCCCAGTGAAGCCAGCCTGGCACTGGCAGATATAGGAGTTCCCCAGATCAACACACTGGGCTCCTGCAAGACAGGAAGGGGGAAGAGCTGAGTGATGGGCAGCCAGACACAACAGCCCCCCACTCACTGCTCTTGGGGCAAAAGGTACAACCAGCAGCTGAGGAAGGCTTTCTTTTTGAGAGGTCAGCTTGACCTTTGACAAGTCTAATCCAACATAGAAAGCACATGTTTTTAAGAAAGATTTTTGTTAAGCAGATTTATTTTTTATTCTCAATCCTATTCCTTTTTTAACATTTCATTCAGCTCAAACTAGAACATTAGTCCAGGTCAGATTAACACCACATGTCATGTTACAGAGTTTGAATGGCAATGAATAAGGAGGACTACAGTACAGAAAGTCTTCACTAGTTTAATCAAAACTGGAAAATTACTGTTACCAGATTACAAGTAATAATGTTTAGCACTTGTGTGGCATTTGCATCCACAATCCACAGACCTCTAAGACTCTTTGTAAAGGATTTGAAAGTATAATCTTCCACATTTTCATGAATGAAGATTCAGACCAAGTTACTTGGCCACAGCCACCCCATCAGAAAACGCAATCTGCAGTAATGGCCCAAGGCACACCATTGCTTTCTTAGTACAGATCCTCCTCCACCAAGTCAACTACTGACATGACAAGGACTTTTTTACAAGAGGATGTAGTGGTAGGGCAAGGCAGAATGGCTTAAACTGAAAGAGAGCAGGTTTAGATAAGATACTACAAAAAAATTCTTTACTGTGAGAGAACAAGTTGCCCAGAGAAGTGGTGGATGTTCCACCCCTGGCAGTGTTCAAGGCCAGCTTCGATGGGGCTTTCTACAACCTGGTCTAGTAAAAGGTATCCTTGCCCATGGCAGGGGCTTGGAACTAGATGACCTTTAAGGTCCCTTCCAACCCAGACCATTCTATGATTCTGTGATTGATCAGTGTGCTTTGATCAGTGTGCCTTGTTATGAACTCCAGACCAGACACCAAAGTAAGTGTATGCTGTTTGGCCTTACCATTAGCACAAGGACTGGAACTGCAGTAATCGATTTTCTTTTCACAGTTGAACCCAGAATAACCCAGTGGGCAGCGGCAGCTGTAGCCCCCGTCAGGGTTGTCGGTGCAGCGCCCACCGTTGAAGCATGGTCCATCTGCACAAGTCATTGCACTCAGCTCACAGTTCTTTCCATAGAAGCCTGGGGGGCAGGTACAGGAGTAGCTGTTCTCCAGGTCCTGGAGGGGAAGAAATGAGAAACAATCAAAACATTGGTCTGAACTTGCTCTGAAATCCAAAAAGGGATTTTAAAAATTAGTAAAACTGACATTAACTCCTCCCTTGAAGGAGTTTAACAAACAACTTACAGTACAGCTTCCACCATTCTTGCAAGGGTTGGCATCACATTCATTGACTTCAATCTCACAGTTGGAGCCTGTATATCCAGGTCGGCACGAGCAAGTGTAGCTCCCCTGACCAGTATTGGTGCACGTGGCACCATTCTTGCAGGGCTTGTGGTGAGTGCAGTAGTTCAGGTCTGTAAAAGATATATTTTCTTTTTTTAAAGAGAGCAGCCAAGGTGCTTGCTACTTTGCAAGACTAGCAGACAATGGGTGAGCTGAAAATAGTTGCCTGGTTTCTGCATTTTGAAACAGATGCTCAGGCAAGGACTGAGAACTCACCCTGGTTGCAGAAAAGGCCACCCCAGCCTTCCTGGCAGTTGCACTGCCACGGCTGCTGACAGGTACCATGAAGGCAGCCTGGGTATCGGATGCACTCATCACAATATCGCCCCTGCCAGCCCACTCTGCATCTGAAAAAAAAGATAACAAAAAAGTCTCTTCACATTTAGACTTCTTACAGTTGGAAACCCTATCACAAAACCTGCAAGCACACTGATGCCAGAGATCAAGTTTCCTAAAAGCCCTCAGTGATCCTTCATGTGAGAAAGTCATCAAGTCCAACCATAGCATCAGCTTTCATCAGTCCTAGCTATTTCTTCCACTTCCTTAGATAGACCCATGGCTCTGATAGTTAATTTGTTTACTCTAATAACAAAGAGCCAAACCTTACACACATCACTGTAAACCCATTAGGTTAATATTAATGGCACTGATGTTTGACTTATGGAATAATACTTTAATCTGGCATCAACCAGGAATTCCAATCTAATATGAAGAAATTTAATCTAATATGAAGAAAGGCCTTTAAACCAACCCTTCAAATGTCCAATGACTTATTTAACACCAGAGCATCAACACTGAAGGACAAAGAAGGAAGCAGGAAGGGAGTGGAAAACTTACTTGCATTCCCCCGGCTTGTCGCAAAAGCCGTGTTGCTCGTCACATCCAGGCAAACAAATCGCTGTAAACAAACCGAGCAGGGAAAGACATCAGCACTGGTGCCAAAACAGCTCTCTTTTACAAGTCTGAGTCTGAGTCTTGTGGGTGGGGACTGAGTCCCTTTTACTAGGCTGGGGCAGTTAAGCACAGCTGAATTAATCTCTGGAGTCTGAAGGAGTATTGATCTTGCCCCGTAACTGGGCACTTTACTTATCACCAGGGATGAGCATTCTTCTTAATACAGTTGCACACAGACAAAAGAGGGCTCACAATTGCTCCCTTCCCCACAGCCCCTCACCCCCCTTCCCTTCCCAGTGAGGGTCAGAAGTCCTTTTTTCCAATTCTATGCACACAGCTCCACCTCTTAATATCCCCCGAAAGTGTGTGTGCAGATAAGAGTGGACAGCTGGTGTGCAGGGTGCCAGTGCAAGACAGCTGCTCTATTGTCTATTCTCTCCCAGCAGCTGCCCCACTGCAACAATACCCAGCCCCGGAGCCAATGGGACTGGCGGCCAGCGACCGGGCAGCCTATCCCTGCCCACAGCTAATCTATGGCACGCGCGTGATTTCGCTGCAAAAAAACTTTTTTTTCTTATTCAAATAAATAAGTCTAAAGTTCTTCCTCCCTCCTTCCCCCCTCCTCCCTGCTCCGAAAAGGGGCGGGTGGGTTGTTGCAGCCCTGGTAAAAGAGGTAAGCGGGCCAGCGGGAGGGAGGATGAGAGAAGGGAAAAAAGGGACTTCTGCTCATTACTTCGCCTGGTTATGGAACTCATTAAGCAGGCACTGCAAAGTTTTAATTCAACAAAGCCAGCCGGAGACAATGGCATGCGAGGGGAAGGAGGGGGGAAGAAAAAGAAAGAAAGAATCAGCGCTGATAATCAGATCGCCTCCAAGTTGGAAAGAATGGAGCTGGGGGCAAGGCAACGGGAAGCAATCTGCAACTGGCAGCTCCACTCACTAACGGCAAAACATTCTTTTTGCATGCACACATAAACACATCTCCCCTGCCTAGTAGGTTTGTGTCAGTGCTATAAGCTGGTTTTTTTCTGAGAGGGAAAACACAGCAAAGAACGTACATAATGAGTCAAGAAAGATGGACAGCCTTCTGCTTCGCTGTGGGAATAGCAGAGATGTACAGGCATTCAAAAGTGCTGACAGCCCCAAAAGAGCTCATTATCAAAATGCTTCCTTTTTCCCCACCCCTTGACACAACTGGGCTAGGCACTTTTGATCATAGGAAAGGTTGTAGCTCTCATTTAAAACACTATCAAAGAAAATGTGAGCCCCTTTTCCTGCTGTTTCTTGTGCAACATCGTACCATGAACTGCTAAAAGCATCCTAGCAGTCACTAACAGTGTGAATAATCAATCAGGAATGGTTTGATAGCAGCTCAGCTGAGACCACAGTGTAGGTGGGTTTAAAGAGAAACAAAAATACAACAAGAAAGCTGAGAGGCTGCTTTACAGCCTGGAACTGTTTTCTTCCTGCCTGCCTGGCCCTTTGAAGACTGCAGAGGAGCACTGGCCCAGTACGTCATCTGCCAACATATTTCAGATCCGTGTATACACACAAACAGAGAATGCCATCACAGGCTGCAGCAGGGGCTCTGTGTGCGCGTTTGGGTGTGCACTGCTATGGATCTACAAAGGGCGGAATCTCATACAACCGGAAAGTATCTGACATCCTGGACTATCCTGTCTGTGATCTGCTTACTGTCCCAGCTTTTCCTGCTGTATCAACACACCACATTCCTCAAAAACTTCAAGCTCTGGGGTATGTTTCATGTCCCTCACTACTTTATTGGTATTAATTATGATTGCAATGGGACAGAAGAGAGCTGGGGAATAAGTTGAATGTTCTCGTGGCCCCATGTGCAGAAATTTCTGTTAGTGGCAGTATATGAGTACCCCAAATGAAAATGTACAGTCTAGAAGCCATAGAGAATGTCTTGGACTTCCTGGTATTTTTCTTAATACAAGGCCGCAGAGGATCAGACCATAGCAAGCCTACCCATAAGGCTATCACATGGATGCTGCCAAAGCCTAGCTCCCTCCCCTGAAGCTATGTACTCTGTAGGTGATGATATCAAAGTTGCATGGTTGGAGGATGTAGGTATAAAAAGTAGTCCTGATATATTTTAATAAATCCTCAAGCAACTGCTGAACATTTTGCTACCAGATTAAATGGTCTAAAGCAAATGAGCAAGAGTGTAGTGTTGGCACTGATATTTTGTAGGCTTGAGAAGGGGCTGTCTGCATTAACTTTCTGTGGCAATGCTGAGATTTCTCACCCCTCACACTGGTAAGGCTTGGGCATGGAACCAGACATCCATCCACCATTGCTCATTCTCCCTCCCCATGGGGCCTGACATCAGAGAAACACCCCTCTGCCAACCCCAAGAGCTCAGGAGACACTGCTGCAAGGGGCACCCAAGGAGACAAGGAGGTGGATACTTACGCTCAGTGCAGTATTGCCCTTTCCAGCCCGGGTTGCAGACTTTCTCGCCACGCTCTCCACAGGTGAAGTGACCGAAGGCATCATCCCTGGGGCGGCAGAAGACAGAGCAGCCTTCTCCGTAGTAGTGCTCATCACACACAAAGCGATAGGAGTACTTGAGGTCAGTGCGGCCACTGCTATGCAGGTCCTGGGACCACTCTTCACCCACTGCCAAGTGTCTCTGGGTGGCCAGGCGGCTGATGAGGCGCTCAGGGTTTTCTGTGTGAAAGTGGAGAGGAGAGTGGTTAGAGAGCGCAAAGCAGGTAGGGCATAGGGGGCCTCTGGTGGGAGCGGAATTGCAGAGGCAGGATGACACGGCTGCATGCCAACAGGTTGGCCTCTGTTGCCACAGGTCTACTGTAGAGGAGAATGTGCTACACACTGCAGAGAAAGGGGCCAAATAGGGCTGCAGGACTGGGATTATTACAGGGAAAAGTGTGTTTCAGGACACTTACCAGTGGTGAGGTCATCAGGTGAATCTGTATGCAGAGCCTCAATGATGAGCGAGAAGGTGCCCTGTGGAAAGAAGGAGCAGAGACAACCCACCAGGAGTTCATGAGAGCAGGTAGGCCCAAGGAACAGTGCCACCAGTCCCCAGAAATTATAAGTCATTGTCCCCCTCCCATCTTGACACTTCAAGAAGATTGGTGGCCTCTTGGAATGGCACGGGTCGGTACGGGATGGATGTGTACCGCCCCCTCCAGCATCGCCCCCCACTTACGGGCCAGGTGAAGCCGAAAGGAAAGCGGATGGGATTGCTGAAGGCGGGGTCGGCACCGCCCGCGCCGTCGGGGACGCTGAAGGAGTTGGCGCCGAGGACGGGGGTGATGGCGCTGCCGTAAGTGCAGGGCGGCTCGGGGGACACGCTGGCCTGGTAGTGCTTGAGACAGACGCGGAAGAAGGTCTTGCAGTCGCACTGCTGGAGCCCGCCGGCGCCGGGGCCGCCCCCGCGGCAACAATTGCGGTTGCTGAGCAGCCCCTTCTTATTGACAAACTCCTGCAGCTTCAGCTCGAAGACGCCGGAGGAGCCAACCTGCGGGGCGGGGACAGCGGCCGTCAGCCACCGAGCAGCCCGCTCCCCAGCCCGACCCCGGCCCCGGCCCCGGCGGGCACCCCCTCCCCGCTCCTCACGGCTGCAACCGGCAGCAACAGTCCCCGGCATCCCCCGCGGGACTCCCCGGTGCAGGGACCCCACGGCGCAGGCATTCCTGTCCCCCACCCCGCGGGCACTTACCTGGCAGCGGCTCAGCAGCACCGAGAGGACGGCGAGCGTCAGCAGGAACCGACCTCCCATTTTGGAGGTGCAGCTCTGGTGCCCTCGCTTTCCTCCCGCTTATCTTCTCGTCAGAGGGAAAGGGGGAAAGTGTCTTTCGGGGTGAGGGAAAAAACACAGCGGCCAAAGCCGCTCGTCCCAGCAGAGCTGGAAGAGTTAGTGTCACGGTCTCCTTTCAGGAGTGTCTCTGACTTTTTTTTCCCTTTTGCCGACACCTCTAGATGTAGCCTGTCGGCAACTGACAGCTCTTTCGGATGGCAAAAGAAAAAGAGAGGAAAAGAGGACGGGAAAAAAAAAATCTGTTAAACTCTTTTTCTTTCGCAATCCACGATGCTCCTCCTTTTCTCCAGGAAGAAAAAATAAAAATAATAAAATAAAAGCAACTTAATTCCCAACAGAGGCAGAGAAAAGGCTTCCCACGGAAGATTAAAAATTGGTGATCTGGAAATCCCTGCAGAGGCAGCGGCGGAGGCAGCGGCGATAATTCCCGGGGCGGTGCGATTGGGGAGCGGCTCTGCGCGGCTGCGCTCGCCCTTCGCACGTCGGGGCTGGTGGGTGTCAAACAGCAGCGGTGGCGGGCAGGTCACGTCGGAGCCTTGATCCCCTTTCTTTTCTCTTTTCCTTTTTTTTTTTTTTTTTTTTTTTTTTTTTTTTTTTTTTTTTTTTGCAAAGGAAGCGAAGCTCTCTTTCCTTGTTGTGGGTTTACTTTTGTTTTTAGAGGAATCCCAGCCAACAAAAATAAGCTCGTGTCTCAACAGCAGCGAATAGAGCGTGTCCGGGTGTGCTCCTACGGGGGAGGGGGTGCCTGCTCTGCGCTGCTCCGCTCCGCTCCGTGCCGCGGCTCGGCTCGGCTCGGCTCGGCTCGGCTCGGCGGCTCTCTCCGAGGGTGAAGCGCTAAGGATCTGCCTCTCCTTGGGCGCCTGCCGCCCTTATATCCCGCCGGCCGACTGCATGCCTAATGAGATGCAAATGAGCAGCCCCCCAATCTGGCTAGAGCTGTCACAAAGGAGCCACTTTTCCAAACCCTCCTCTCAATGGATCGCCAAATGGTCAGTGAGCTGTAAAATGTGCAACCCTCCTCCCCCTCCCCTTCGCACTCACAAAACGTGTTCATTTACATTCCTGCAAATTTGGTAACCGCAAGAATCCCCCTTCTGCTCCGGCAAGAGGGTAACACCCCCTCTGCACCGGGGAGAGACAGTGCAACACGCTCCGGCCAGAGAGCAGCCCCGGGGACGGCGGGCTGTAATTGCCTCTTGGAACGTGCAGAGCAGCCGCCGTGACCCCAAAAAAGTGACTCGGTGATCGTGACTACTCCAAGGGGCTTCTCCGGCGTTAAAGGGACGAGGGAGGTGGGAGCCATCGAGCCACATCGAGGGGAGTCCCATCCCGTGAAATTCACACTGCATTTACCCTGGCATAACGGGGGTAACTGGCGAGTGGGACAACGAACGTGGACGAAGTGACTCGGGGTTCGCTCTTCCCGTGGCTCCGCTCATGGCGCGCATCCCGCCGGCAGAGGCACAGGGGATCCCCGGGGGTCCGGCGGCGAGGGAGGACGCGGGCGGGCTCGCGGCGGGGACTCGTGGAGGGGACCGGTTTGCGGGGCTTCGCGGGTCCCCTCCCCGCCACCACCGCTGCTGGAGAGAGCCACTCGCTGCGCCGGGGTCCCGCACCCCTCTATGATTATTATCATCATCACCAGCAATCTCTCCCTCGCTCTCTCCGTCTCTCTCTCTCTCCCTCTCTCTTTTTTCGTCCTTCAGCTTAGTAAAAAGTGAGTTTGGTGTGTGTCGTTCGCGTGGCTGTCATTAAGGCCGTTTGTTATTGTGTGAGGGCTGAATCAGTTAGCTCTTTGTGCTCTCAGCTGTATGGTAATGTAGACAGCACCTGCTCCCTGCACAATGCGAGGGAGAGAAAGAGCTCCCCTCGGCGCACGCTACTGCCTCTACAACAATGTCCGCACATTTTTTAAAGAAATCCCTTCCAGCACTTCCCCCCTCCGCAACACACATCCACACACACTCACATACACACACATACGAGCACAAAATAAACTGGCCCAAATTTACACCAGTCATCACCTTTACGTACGTAAAATTTTTTACGTACTCATTAGACAGTACAACTTTTGTTTTGATCTTTAAAATACAGAAAGGAGTTTACTGGTGCAGTGAAAAAGGGATAGAGACTATTACCATTTGAGCAGTTTCTTAATAATGGATGGAAGCAGGGGATAAAAGTTGGAGGGCGACTCTGGCATGTCACTCGAAGCAGGGTTTTCCACTTTGTTTAGGCCCTCTGTTTAAACACCTTTGGTAGGCACAGGCGGATTCATTAGGATGCAAGGTATAACTGTCTCTGTAAATGTCATTTTAATTGTAACAGATCATTTCAGCACAGATTAAGCTTGTGTGCGAAAGGAGAGGATTTGGCTACAATAACCTCACTGTAGGTATGCCGTGCTAAAAGCCTTATTATGGCGACTTTATTGGGTTGAAACGTGCATTTGCATGGCAAAATGTGGCTTCCATTGAAGCAGATGTCTTGATCACAAATTATCTTACAATGCGCTAGGAAAAAAAAATCTTAAAGACTTCTTAAAGTAAAAGCATTGAGTAATACCAATTAAAAGAAAATCACTAATGAGTTCATTCAGCCCAGCTCTTCTTGACTGTTCCAGGACTGTAACTGCCCACATTCATTTACTAGGGGTTTGTGGCACCTACCCCAAACCCAGGCCACCTACTCCAACCCTTGGTACAAGCATCCAGATCTTTGCAACGTTTTGCTACTCAACGTGCGTCCTTTACATCTAATTGTAGTCGAACGAGCCATCTACATCCAGGCGCTCTTCCTCTCACCTCTTCCCGCCCCTCGACGCATAAGCAAAAGTTTAAAATGTACAGGAATGTTTGGGTTTGGTGGGGGTTTTTTTTGGTTTTGGGTTTTTTTTTTTTTTGGTTTTTTTTTGTTTTGTTTTGGTTTTTTTTTTTGTTTGTTTGGTTGGTTGGTTGGTTTGGTTTTGTTTGGTTTTTTTTACCCGGGAGCTGTGTCTGGGCAGAGAAGGGACCAGCAATCCCGCAGGCATAGTGCGAGGACGTAGGGAAGGCGGCCCAGGAGGGAGCGGAGCGGAGCGGGCGGCGGATCCCCGGAGGCCCGGCCGCCCGCCCCCGCCGTGCCCAGCATCAGCACGGGGAGCGGGGGGGCGCATCCCGCAGCAGCGCCGGTTTTCACTGCACATTACTTTTGCCACCTAGCGTCAACATCTTTTCAAGTGGCTTGTCGCTGCTTCGCAAACTTTGCTGCGGCGTTATCCCCGGGAAAAAGAGAGAGAGCGGGAAAACATCACTTCGTATGAGGTTTACTAAGCGAGTGGGGCGGGGGAGCGGGGGTGAGCGGCAATATCTTTCTTGAAATTTGGGTGGTGGCCCGTCGGTGGAGGCAAGAAGTGATATATCAACGCGTATCTTTTAATCTAGGAGAGATAGAAAGTTGGTCCATTAGCATCTCCTTGCTTAAGAAATTGGAAATAAAAAGTTACACGCGCGAGGGCTTTAACCTAGCGATAGGGAAAAAAAAAAAAAAAAAAAACCCAAACCGAAAAAACTTACCCCCAAATCCTTAACATCCCCCCTTCGGTACCGGGTATTTGTTAAATTGACGTGGCACAGATTTCTCGATTACCGCTGCTGAGCGTGACTGAAAGGCGCCGTGAGAGCCGGCAGGATCCTGCCCACGGCGCTCATTCTTCTCTGGCTTAATTTATGCCACGCGATTCTGTATTGGGGAAATCAAGCAGAAAGCTCCTTTTTTTGCTTTTTTCCCCCCTCTCCCTCTCTCTTTCAGATGCTGGACTAACGGGGAGACTGTTTAACTTAAGTGTTTCTATAGGAGGCTGTTGTAGTTTAACTCCTGCCCACCAGTAGCTGAGGCGAACAAAGGAGGGACTCGAGGTCTAACTATTCATCCATTCTCTGCACTTTAATTTTCATTGATTTCGAAGACAAGGGGAGCCCTTAGGGATTCTCGCTGAAGGGGGATGACACGCCTTTAGACGCGATCAGCCCCCCAGCCAGCCATCTGCTCCCAACCAAATGGCGCTTTTTCGCTCCCAACCGCGTGTCTCCGCACCGCGCTCGCCCGCCGCCCCCCGCCGCCCCCGCGCTGTTCGCCGTGCCCGCGCACCGCCACCGGCCCCCGCTGCCGGGCACGGCCAGCCGCCCGGTCCCTTCCCATCTCGTCCCGTCCCGCCCGACGTCCTGCGTGGCTGTACCCGCCCTGCCGAGTGAGCCGGCGGCAGGACCCCCGGGGGCGGGCGCGGGAAGCGGGGCCCCGCCAGGGCGCGGTGACCCCGCACGGCCGGGACGCGGCGGGCCCGGCCCCGCCTGCCAGCGGCTCGCTGGGGCTGGTGGGGTATTGTGCTCTCCCTCCCTGCCCCTAATTGATACCCTTCCCGCAACGCCGACCCCCCTCTTCTGCTCCGGCGAGTATTTACGGTCGCGCCGCGGACCAGCGCGGCCGACAGCTCCCCACCAGCCGCAGATTTTATTTCTAAGCGAGCCAGATGATGGGAAAAGTCACTTAAAAAGGGGGGTGGGTAGGATATGTGCGTGTATTAATTAGGGCGACGCGCTGCCATCGCTGGCGTGCAACACTGATTTTTCCCGGGACGGAGGGCTCCGGGCATATGGCGAACGGTGCGTCGGCGGAGGGACGTGAACGTGTGAAGCTATGTGTAGCCGAGTGTGCATAATATTTTAATTAGATCTATAGTCCCTACGGAGGTATGTGTGCGCGGCTGCCCCACCGCCGCACGCCCCCTTCACCTGTTCCTCCGGGCCGGGCCGGGCAGGGAGGGGGTGAGAAGCGGGGTGAGGGCAGGCAGGGTGCCGCTGGGCCGGGGTTCTGGCTCCCCCGCTTGCCCCAGGCTTGGCGACGTGACCGGGGGTGCTGGCGCTGCCCCGAGCCCAGCCGCCGGGCGCCCCTACCCGAGGCGGGTGCGTGACGAGCGCGGAGGGTCCGCGGTGCCGGAGGGGCGCTCCGCCGCCCTTGCCGTGTGCGGGGAGGAGCATTAAGAAGTTTAGCGTGTAGGTTAGCCCAAAGTTGCAAAGGCATGTGCTGATTAGAATAAGAAAGGGTAGTCGCGTGGCTCAGCTGGCACACAGCGAGGCCAGATGATAGATAAGCAGCTCCGGGTCCTCCCTTCCCCCCAGCTCCCTTTTTGAAATCGCAAATCATCTGCTCCGGCCCTATCCTAGCCCCTCATTTTCATTACAATGGTTGTGTGTTTACCTGTGATCCTGGGACGGGGCATTCCTTTGTCTCCCGAGGAGATTACCGCAGCCAGCTGCTCTCCAACCCTTCCCTGGGCAAATCCCGAAGTGGCCCCTATATGTGTTTTACTGATTGCACACGAGGAGAAAGCCAGATACCCCCTCCCCCCACCCCGGCCCCGTTTCTCTCCGCTACTTGTTTGTTTGGGTTTGCTCCCTGGCTTGCTTCCGACGGGATTTAGCTTGTGGGATAAAATTAATCACTCGTGTGCGTGAGCTGTCATTGCTCCCAAAGTCGGAAGGATGAAGGGCTGCTTACCTCTGCCCAGAGGGCCAGAACCACGGGATCCCCCAGGGAACAACAGGAGAAAAGGGGTTCGGGGAAATTTCCCCCTGCCTTGCCCTCCCTTAGCCCTCGGGTTCCCCCCACCCCCGTCTGGAACATAGCTTTTCCCAAAACCTCCTGTGGGTGCCCTGAGCTAGGCAGGTCCCATTCCTTCCCCTGCCCCTGCTCTGGAACGGGCAGTTTCAAATGCTCTTCTTGCCCATACCCCCATGGGAGCACCTTGGCCTTGCATTTGGAGTACTGGCATCTTTGCCAGTAGGATATTCAAGGTCTTCACCACACCAGAAGCCACGGAACACATTTGAACTAGAAAACCTTCTGAAGTGCCTTACCACATGAAATATCCCTTGATCCTGATATTTATCCTGTGCCCCAGCACCCCATTTGTCCTGTCAAGCAAGCCCATGCAGTGCTGAGGCCTGGCTTGTCTTGGGAGCAGCGTCACAGAGGGAGGGTGAGCGGTAGGACTCAGATCATGTCCAGGTGATAAAAAATGTGATGGCACTCCTCAAAAAAATATTCTGCATTGCAGCTACGAGATTCTGCTGGATGGCTGGAAAGATGCTGTTCTGCTACCAACTTCAGTAGCAATATTCACTGTCTCTGCCACTTCTTGTAGGAAAACTCCCTCTTTTGCCCAGCATTATCAATCATCATCTTAAGCCAGAACTATAAATAGTAGCTGCAAACCACCACTCCAGCACAGGTCACTCTCTAGAGCCCTGTGGCAGCACAGAGTGCTGCTGTACTGTGTTGCATTTCACGCATGAAGGGTTTTTGTGTTCTCCCCCTTTGCACAGTGTGTGCATCTTCTGCACTGTATGCTGGCTGCAGCACAAAACTTGCTGCTAATAAACTTTGAGGGAGGAGAGGGGGCAGCAGTTTGATTACATGCTTCCAGAGGTTTCCAAGCCACTTCCAATTTGTGCAGTTTTTATTTCTTTCTTCATTTCTTCACATTCAGGGTAGGCAGGGGATGAGAGAAGGTGCAGGCAAAAACTACTCTGCAAAAGGTGATTATGAGAAAGAGGATGCGTATGGATGGGGCAGGCCTGAGCTTTTGGAAATGCTCCCCCCTTTTCTGAGAGCATCTGCCCGGAGACGAACAGATGTGGGCACCTGCGGTGACAGGCCACATATGCTCCATCCTATTCACAGGCATTCAGACACAGCCACAATGGTGAGGCTTTGTGCACTCAGAGTCACCAAATATATTAATCTGCACTCCCCAGAGCACCGCTCTCTTTAATTTTTCACCGGCAATAACATCTGATCTTATCTTCCCATGGGCTCCCCCGTGTCCCCCGTGTTTCTTCCCCCTCCCGGAAAGGGAGTGAAGTTATTCAGGTCCCCACCTGTTGCCGGTGGGCTGCGAGCGGGTCTCGCTCCTGGCCCGCACCCAGGGCGTTATCCCAGGATGTGCGGCCCCGGGGACAACGGGGGTTCTCCTCCGCTGGCAATCGTCGGGCACGACAAAGCGAACCTGCCCCCCGCCAAAGGTCGCGCTGCCCGGGGGAACATAAATCTCTCAAGCGCGACTCGGGGTGGGGGGGTTCGAAGCGATTTCGGTGCGCGACGCTTTCATGTCCCCCGCCCCGTCCCTCCGTGCCGGCCGGGCTCGGGGGCACAATGGCCCCTCCGACCCCGTTGTGGCCGTACAACGCCGAGCAACCGCAGCCCGCGGACAGGAACAGCCGCCGCTGCGAGCGGCCCGACCCCTCCCTCACAGGCACGGCCCGGCCCCTCACAGGCACGGCCCGCCCCGCCGCTGGGCGCAGGCGCGGGGGGCAGGCCCTGCCCTGAGGGAAGCGGAAGCGGCGGTCGGGTCAGTGCCGGGCGGTGGGGCCGAGGCCGAGGCCCAGGGGCTCCTCGGAACCGGACTGGACCGGACCGGGCCGGGCCGGGCCGGGCGGGGCGGGGCGGGGCGAGGCGAGGCGAGCGGCCCCGGCTCCGGGGTGCGCGGGCGGTGCGTCTCGGGAGCCGCACGGACCCCGGGGCTCGGCCCTGCCGGGGCTGAGCGCAGCGCCCACCGCATCCTGAGAGGTCGTGAAAAACCCCTTCCAAACTGTGATTAAAGAGGGTGGTATTCTGAACTCTGTCTTTGACAGATTTCGGGAATGCTTTTAGAATTCACAGTACTCTGTAAACTCACCGTCCTTTCTTTGCCTTTTGAATACCATCAGCATGTATATTTCTTAATAAAAAAACCGAAATCTAGTCTTGTTTTTCTAGTATTGTGTACTTCTCTACATGCTATTAACCTGAAATCTCCCTCACTGGAGATACTCAAGAACTGTCTGAACGCAATCTTGTGCTGTGTGCTCTAGGATGGCCCTGCTGGAGCAGAGAGGTTGGCCTTGTGGTTCCTTCCAGCCTTACTCATTCAGTGATTTCTGTGAATTTTGTTTGGTCAAACTTACGAGAATCTCTTGATATTTTTATTTTTCACTGATACGAAAATCAGAGGTAGAAGGGGAAATGAACGAGTACTTATGTTCGGTTGGCAGAGGGGGAGTAAACTGTTTCAAATTGTTAAAAGTGGGATACGGCAATGAACTATCAGCAAAAGCAGAAAAATAACAGTTTGTTTCCAAGCAGCTTTAAAAAATATTATTGTAGAATTTCATTGTTTTCCAGGATTACATCTTAGAACGTTGTTTTATTTTTCTTCTTTCAGACTGCTGGGAGTTTTGGACATCAGCCATGGGTGTTAGAGGCTTGCAGGGATTTGTGGCAAGAGTTTGCCCTGATGCATGCCAAACGGTAGATCTGAGAGAAATGGCAGAAAAGCATCGCATTGATCATCCTGATTGCCCACCTGTTATCGTGGTAGATGCTATGAGTTGCGTTAGACGCTGGTACACACCAGAATCCTGGGTGTGTGGTGGCCAGTGGCGGGAGTACCTTGCCATTTTAGAGGATTTTATCAATGCTTTTATGGCAGCTGGTATCAAGTTGGTGTTTTACTTCGACGGGGTAGTAGAAGAGAAAAAGAGAGATGAGTGGATCAAACGGAGGATGAAGAATACTGAGGAAATAGCCAGATTATTTCAGTTTATCAAGACTCACAGGAAACAGCCAGGGAGAGAAATGTTTGTCCTTCCTTCAGCTCTGCCTACTTTTACACGTTATGCCCTGAAATCACTTGGTCAAAAAACAGTTTGCACATTGCAAGAGGCAGACTTTGAGGTGGCTGCATATGGTTTGCAGCACAACTGTATAGGAATTCTGGGGCAAGATAGTGACTATCTCATCTATAACACATGTCCCTACTTTTCCATTGAGAACCTCCGTTTGGACAGACTGGTCACTGTTATGTACTCTCGAGAAGTTCTTTGCCATGTGCTGGGTATTAGTTTGGCACACCTTCCTCTCTTTGCATGCTTGCTTGGCAATGATGTTGTTCCAGAAAGCATGCTGGAAGGCTTTTGGCACAAATGTTTAACCACCAGTCCACACAGGAATAATAGCTACAACAGAAGAACAAACATACTGCTGTCTGTAGCAAATTACATCTCAAAAATTCCATGCTCGTACAGCAGCGTGAAACACTTGGAAGAGATTCTACCTCTGGGATCAGACAAGACATTGCTTTGCAGAGGAGTGAACTCTTATCTTTTGCCTGGGCAGCAGTCTCCATGGGTTCCTCCCAATGAAACAAATTGTCAAATGTTGTCCCTTCAACAACAATCAGCTCTCTGTCAAGATAAAGAAATCTTTCAGGTAACTTGTTTTTTAAAGCTTAATGATCCCTTTATTGCTGTGACTAGTTAGTGGAAGTTACTAATGAGTACGTCAATCCTATTGATTTAAATTTGCTTGTGCAAAAATCTTTTGTCTGTTAAGTAGAGCCCCAGTTACGACTATTGCATGCATTAATATGAGCACAGATCCAGCATATTTAATGAAAATAAGTTTTTGTCTTTTTGTAATGTCAAGTAGGTCACATAATGGGGAGCAGCTCCTGTATAGGCCAGCAGCTGGGCACAGAAATGTACTTCCCATGTATTATATGATTTCCCATGTTAATATGATTTGTGTATTGACTTAGTTTTTACTTTGAGAACCCACAGGTCAACCATAAGCTGGTCAGTGATCTGCTTGGTTGTGGTTTGCAATGGAGGTATCAAAGGTATCTGTGCTAAGAATGCAGAAGTTGAAATTGCTTGTGGTGGAGACCTGGAAACTCCTACAGAATCATGTCATAGAGTCATAGAATAGTTGGGATTGGGACTAAAGATAACCTAGTTCCAAACTCCTGCCCTGAGTAGGGAGACTTCCACTAGACCAGGTTACTTAGAACCCCATCCAACCTGGCCTTGAATCCTTCCAGGGATGATCCAACTTCTCTCTTGTCAACCTAAGCCAGTGCCTCACCACCTTCACAGCAAAGGGCTTCTTCCTATATCTAATCTAAACCTACTTTCTGTTGGTTTAAATCCATTTCCCCTCATCCTGTCACTACACACCCTTTTGAAAAGTCCCTCTCCACCTCTTTTGCAGCCCCCTTTAGGTATTTGAAGGCTGCTCTAAGGTATCTCCAGAGCCTTCTCTTCTGCAGTTACACAATCCCAGCTCTCTCAGCCTATCTTCATAGCAGAAGTGCTCCAGGCCTCTGATCATCTTTGCAGTCGTCTGGACTCACTCCAACTTGTCGAAGTACTTCCTGTGCTGGGGATATCAGAGCTGGACACAGCACTCGGGGTAGGATGTCACCGGAGCAGAGTAGACAGGAAGAATCCCCTTCCTTACCCTGCTGGTCACACTGCCTTGGATGCAGCCCAGAGTTCAGCTGGCTTTCTGGGTTGGGAGCAC